AACGCGAAACCCATCGCCTCAAACGCCGCCCATGCCCCATGAACGCCGTCAAAACAACCATACTTCTCTTCCTCCCCCAAGCACCACCCGGCCGATCTAGCTCTTGCCCAAATATCCCTCCCTCTCCAACACCTCGGGGCGGAACTTGACCAGGAACACGGTCATACCGAGCCACATCTCCTTGTCGTCCTTGAGGTTATGCGCGCTCACGCGCGCGGGGAAGCCGGCGCCGTCGCAGAGGCCCTCGACGATGCCGGCCATGAAGGCGGCGCAGTTGAGCTGGGACAGCTCGCGGGGGACGCTGACGTAGGCGTTGACGAGGGGCTCGTTGTCGATGATCATGTACTCGTCGGGCTTGGCGGGGTCGGCGCTCTTCTCGAGGCGGTCGGCCTGGCGGCCGAAGAGGTGCTGCCAGGCGGACTGCTTGATGAAGTGCAGCAGGTTGATGATTGTGAGGGGCCGCAGCTGCGTGCGGGGCGCTTCGCGGAAGAGGAGGAGGTCGAGGAGTTTGAGGCCTATTGAGTGGCCTTGGACGTTGAGGCTGGGGGGATGGGGGTGTTAGCTGTGCTGCGATGGAGGAGGCGATGGGGATGGGGACGAGGAGACAGGAAGGGGAGGCAGGGCGTACCGTTGCTCGAGCTCGGAAATGTCCTTGACGTTGCGCTGGGCGTACGAGACCATCTCGCTGAAGAGGTAGGCGAAGCTGGCCTGGCTGAGCTCCGCGGTTTTCGTGCGGTTGAGGGGGCGGTGGTAGATTGTCTTGCCGTTGGAGGGGTACCGCAGGCCCGGCGTCTCCTTGCCAGGTACGCTCTTTGTTGTTTGGATGTTTGCCATTGTGTTTTATCTGGGTTGTTGTTTCGTGGACGATTGCTGTTATGGAGGTGGCATTGGGCGTGTCGTGTCGTATCGTGGAGGTTTATTGCTTGATGCGAGCTGTCCGGAAATCTGGACTTCGGCAGTGCGCTCGCGCTAGGAGTGACGTTGGAAGGCTGCAAGGGTTTTTGGGGTAGCTTGTGTCGTGGCGGTCGGGCGCGCTGGGGAATTTGGGGCGGTTGATACAGCCTTATCGGCGATTAGATAAGAGCTGGGGTTTCAACGTCTCACGTTGAATGGTGACAGTCCATTCGAACGATTAAGACGGACATTAGTCGGTGACACCGCTATTTCATGGGTTATAACATTTCGCAAGTTAGCGCAAGCTGGCTGTATCTTTCAAGAAACTTTGAAACGGTTCTTTTGATTTCCCTCTACGCATTACCCCAGGCGTTTATCGCCCTGTCTATAGATACTGAATACTACCAAATATATGACTGAAAGAAGTTCTGTCCGTCCTTTTGAAATATTGAAGAAAATCAAGCAGCAGCCTTCGTCTCCGCCGCCTCAGCACCCACGCCCTTCTCGGCAGCACCTCCGAGGTAGTCCTCCGACTCGCCAATCAGCTTGCCGCCAGAGACCCAGCGCGCCGTCCTGGCTTCGCGCTTCTCCTTGCACATGGCGTTGAGGGCGGGCCAGTAGACGTCGTGGTCGTACTCGAACTCGAGCTTGCCGTCGCTGAATTCGGTCCACAGCTGCTCCTCGGGGACGTACTGCTTCATGTCCTCGTTGAACTTGAGCTTGTCGCGCGTCATGGGGTCAATGAAGGGCGTGATGAGGCGGAAGAAGCCATTGACAACCCATGGGACTGTTGTTTCTCGTCAGGTACACCATACAAGATAAGAAATGACTGAACATACCGTTGATGATGAGGGCCTTGCCGAGACGCTCGGGGTAGTGCGTCTGCAGGATGTGCAGCACCTCGCGCGCGAGGCCGATGCCGGGGGCGGTGTTGCCGCGGCTCTTGGAGGTCTTGAAGTTGATGAGCAGGGCGAGCTTCTCCTGGCCGGCGGGCATGACCTCGATGACGCGCTCGAGCATGAAGACGAGGTGCTGGACCTGGCGCGGCGAGGGGTCCGTGTTCTGGCGGCCCGGGTTGAGGTAGTGGCAGGGCCGGCGCTCCTTGTCGAAGCCGAGGATGATCTGCTTGCCCGTCTCGTTCTCGGGCGAGATGTGCTCCGGGGTCAGCGCCTCGACGCCGTACTCGCGGCGCCAGGCGAGCGTCTCGAGCAGGCGCTTCTCGGCGTCCTTGGTCACCCACTTGGTCGCGCGCAGGTAGCGGAGGAGGCACTCGCGGGTGAGCCACTGGCGCTCCGAGTCGGTGAGGGGCCCGGACTTGTCGGCGTGGGCGGCGGTCGGGCACTTGACCTCGGACCAGGCGCGGGCCTGGGCGAGGAGGGCGTCGTACTTGGACTGCTGGTCGGGGGTCAGGGGCGTGAGGGCCGCGGTGGAGGAGGCCGGGACGGGGGCGGCGAGGGGCGTCTTGCGCGGGCCGGCGACGGGCGCGGAGGATTTCTCCTCGGTGCCGGGGTAGGCCGGGGGTGGTTGATCGGCGACGGCGGCCATTTGCGGCGAAAGGGGGGATGAGTGCTCGGGGGGTGTTGCGGTTGTTGCGGGTTGGGGGCGGTAGTTGCTCTGTGCCGCAAGGGGGTACCTCAAGGGAAGGGTGTGATCGGACGTGTTTGACCCGACTTTGACCTGACTTTGTCTGTGTGAAAGGGATCTGCGGGGAGGGGAGGGGGGCGTGTTGAGTTTGCAGAATGGCACGTTGCGGTTCGTGTCGTGTCGTGTGGTGGGTGAGTTGCTAAATGTCGCTACGTTGATGGGAAAGGGGGGCGCGGACCGAATGGGACTAAGGGACTTGTGTACTTGGGTAGGTACTTTTGAACTTTGTCAATCCTTGAGGTCTTTAGCAGGTCTCAGAACTCGGGAGGAAGAGGAACAGAGAGAAAGAGGTTGGGCGTTGACTCTGACTGAGTGAGATACTTTTTGGGCGCTTCTCACACCGCCAGAATTCAATTCTAGATGGATTTTGTGCTGACTCGGTAGTGATTTCCGGTGTGTTGAGATGAAATGAGGTGAGCCCATGCCGGGAAGCTCAGTTCCGGGCGATAGTGTCCGCACCAAGAGCCCAAGGGTCCCGCTGCCGTGCCTTGCGTTGCCCAAAGTTCCTCTTTAAAGAGTGATACTGTGACCTTGACGTGCTGAGGATCGTCACTGGAAAACGGGACTTGGGTATCTCAGAGGGAATTATTGATGCATGATGGATTGGGTGCATCTGGGGAAGAAACACTGCAACCTCGTGTGCTCTGACTAAGATGATCCTTCCAATGGTGCAGATGGATGGACTTGTGTTCTCTAAGGTGCAGCCTCTGCTGTGCTCTGCAGATGCGGCCGCCAAGCACCAGCTCAGGGACCAAAAAACCGTTGAAATCTGATTTCTGGGAGGTGCAGGACCCTGTTGTCGCCTGCTGCAGCTGCAGCTTCTCGGCAAACCCCGCGCTAGACCGGATAAAGAGGGCACCGGTTACAATGTTGCTGCTGGAAGGAGTCTGCTGAATGAGATAGAGTCCTTCCTTCCTGAACTGAAGATAGAGTGGTGATTCGGTACGTACTTGACCAAAGATCCAGCCAATGACGCCGGCGGCGAGTTTTGCGGAGTGGTCGCGACTTGAAACCTCGGATCTTCATCAACCTTCAAGACAGCCCGTCACCCGCAGGCCTTCCGACGACGGACGAGTGCCCTTCCTGTCTCTCATTGAGTCATTGCAGCTGCCATCTTCTCGCAGCCTGTCAATGTCAACAGCACCCAAACCAAGGACATCCAAGGCCAGCACCGTCTGTCACTACGTACGGCACATGCAGAGACGAACCTACCCACCATCACCACCACCACCATGATGGCACATCCACCACTACCATATCACCACCCATGTCCGATATGATGGCCATAACGACACGGCATACACTACATCCTCGCTGTACATGCCACGCAGTAAGACATCACCACCAAAAACATCAACAAGCACAAGCCACCGACCACTTGCTTGGGTCCAGCAGGCGTTCTCTGCCGCTTCCGCAACCCGCAACCAAAAGCCCAACGATCGTCCGCCTCCCCGCTGGCCGGCTTGCCCTCGCGTGGTTTCAAGTCAAGAATAATCCATCTCGATGAAAAGGTGGAAGCCGCAAGAAACAGACGTACCATTGGGTCGGCCGGTCCCTCGGGCTTCCGTGTCCGTGGCTGGGCGATTGATCACGCTGGCCCTTCCCAACTGCCCGGAACGCCAACCATCCGAGCCTGTGGCTGCAGCCGAGCGTCTGGCTTCTCTCCCTCCCGAACACCAGCGCATGCGGCCCTTGTCACGTAGTGTCAACCGCCTGCCTTGCCTTGCCTCCAGCAGCAGAGGTGTCCCCACTACCGTCCGTCCCTCCCTTCCCGAACGGTGGAAAGCCTGAACTCGGTTCTTCGTTTCCGAACCATGGGCCATCCCTCCAAGCTTCCACACCACATCAGACACACCACCACCATAACGACTTCCACCTGCTATGTACACGACGACAACGGATACACCAAGCAACAACAAGCGTCGTCTAGCCCAATCACCCTCCCGCCCAAATATGCATCCTACACACAAACCATGAACTCATCCCATCCGTGCGGGCACGCGCCGTCGTCCCACAATGCCAGAAACTTTGGATCCCAGAGACCACTCCTCCTGTGACTGGCAACCGCCCTTTCCGTTCCACCCTTCATCGTAGTCGCATCCGTTCTTAAGAAAGACATCTCGGGAGAGCCCTGTCTACCTCTTGTCGGCTCATGGACGGATCGTCGTCACATCAACCCGCCCCCTTCCTCACATGTCCCTCCCCGCCGACGAACGAGTCCTTTTCAGCCGTTGTAGCCCCTTCGGGAATTTGAATGTCCATCACTGATCGACGCGGCTCCCGGTCTTGAAAAGAACCGGTACCGTAACCTCGCCGCAGAGTATATTTCCCGGATCGACCGCCAGGATTCAACCTCTTTTTGCATCCGGATGTTTCACCGCCCCAATCATACCTCCTTCGCCCGTCAGCTCCAAGTCGCACCGAGAGAGAGACTCAGAGACTGAGAGCTTCTTAAAGCAACTATGGTCACCCTCCTCCCCTCCCTCTGGCCATGCCCAGATCTCAAGAAAGTCTCTCTCCACGCCCCCGAGAGCCTGTCTTCGTGGTTCAACATGCCGTTCTCTACCTACCTCGTCCAGGCCTCCGTCGCGGCCCTGCTCGTCGTCCTCGGCGTCCACATGCAGACCACCGCCGCCCAGGTAACGCCGCCGACCTGCACAAACGTCGACCAGCCGAACCCCCTCTGGGCCCAGCACCCGAACAACGCTACCGGCGTGCTCAACGTCACCATGGCCATCTTCCCGATCCCCATGGCCGCCGCGCGCCAGATGGTCCCCTTCGCCATCTTGGAAAACAACCTCCGCGCCGTGATGCCAGACTTCCCCGCCGGCATGTACCCTGTCGTCGTCCAGGCCGGACACGACCACGACATCCGCTTCCAGGACTTTGGCATTCCTGACTTCAGTGTAAGACCTTGCCTGGCCCCCGAGACATTCTTCTGTAAAGCCACTCACTGACACACTTTGGCGCACAGAAAGCTGGATACGAGTTCCCCTTCCTGGACCTCCTCGGCGACGGCACGTCCAACTTCCGCTGGGCCCCGGAGCAGCTCATCTCGGAAACCAACCCCGCCGCCGTCACCGGCTCCCAGGCCTACGGCACCACCGTCCACGCCGCGACCTTCGCCCCGGACTGCAACGCCTACAGCGCCCTCTCGACTTGCACCGGCAGCACCTACTTCAACGGCTCCTCCGCCGTCGGGGACAAGCGCATCTCCCTCACCATGCGCCGCGCCGCCGACCAGATCCCGTACACGCTGTCCATGTTCGACAGCATCATCAACCAGCCCATCTTCGCCAACGGCACCGCCTGCGATCAACAGATCCGACTCTTCAACACCTCCCTGTCCCAGGGCGCCTTCGCGCCCGTCCCCGTGCGCGGCTCCGTCCGCTCCAGCCTGGGGCCCTTCCCCGCCGACGCGGCGTTTGGGGATGTGGCCGGCTTCCAGGTCGCGACGCCGTTCATCGAGAACAACTACCTCCCGTGCGATATGTTTAGAGGATACAACCCGGTTAAGACCACTTGATACCCCCTCACTGCAATGTTTAATGTTTTTTTTTTCTGCCTGTTCTTTTTCGGAGTTTTGTGTTGGGCCGACCTGAGAGTCGAAAGACGGAGTGGCCCGGACCTTTTATGAGCTCATGATGGATATGACCCCGTATATATTCATACCTACACATATAGGGAGCTGGGACTGCGCGCTGCAGCTGCTCCCATGGAACGTAATACATGAATGCAGGCCTGATGGTCTTGCTATTTCTCTCCACAAAGGTCTCTTGAATTTGTGAGAATTAACTTGGAAGGCTGTGGTGACTTACACAACCGAGGCAAGCTTGTCTTCTCGCTTGTTTTTCAGGAGACACCGCCCAAATACCTAATATGTGACATTCGAAATCTGATCAAGTAGGAGAGGGCTATCGCCTGTGAATGTGGCTGACATTTACGCAGATGTCATGCCCGCTTGTGACCTACCGCCACAAGACCTGGCACCAAGCCGTTCGAAGGAGATGACCTCGGCCGGTTGAGGCGGTATCTTTGGCCCATCGTGTCACTCCCAACTTTCAAACCTGGACTCACGTGCTTTGAGGCCTCTTGCGGGCAATATGAGGTTTACATGGTATGGACTCGTGCCGTACCTCACGAGAGGTGTGTATTCACGTGTAAGCGGCATTGGGGGGGTTCTATTAACGAAGCAGGCAGGCTATTGGTGATTGCAAGGCGTCGGACTGGCTTAGAAGATGGGACCCAAGTTCCCGAATAACGAGAATCAACTCTTCCAAATCCGGCAGGTTGAAGACTTCCACAGTTTCTGTTGATGTCTGACACTCACGACTGCCGCCAGGATGAGGATGTCGAAGGTGAAGGATCATGGGTCACTGATGGAGTTGAGAAACGCAGTGAGCTTGTTGGCCTTCGCCCGGATATGGTTCAAGTGGTGTTTTCGCTGAGATTAGTCGTATCAGTCTGAGAATGCCACGCAAGGAGATGATCAGATAATGGTTATGCAATGCCGCGAATGTCGTGCTGCTGACAGCCGGCCTTTTCCGGGAAGGGGAGAAGAGACGCTGCATCAAGGAACAGGACGGCAAAGGGCTCGCATCCTAAGATTGAATCGACCCAAGAAAACAACAGCCGTTTCTTTCTCTACTTCCACCAGGCAGCAGTGGTTCCGTATGATTTGCACAGAGAAGGCTTTCGAGAACTGCCACCGATCCTGATTAAATTCAAGGGTCATGAACTTGAATTGAGAGAGTCAATGGACTCAGAATTAGTTTTCGACATCACTTGCCATGTGTCGCCATGCTTGATGTCGACCACAGCATCAATCGATACTGTCCACTGCCTCTAGACCAGCCTTGTCTATTGGATAATGCATTTCTCCAGACCGACCGGGGGTTTGAGCCATCAAAGCTGTCAGCCACAACCCGTCGCTTCAACTTGCGCATCTTGAGATGATGTGCGCCTTGGCACTGACCAAGATCGATGGGGGGTCGCGCATCATCCCATTGACTTTTTCGAGACAATGAAACGACGTCACACCAATCCCTTTTCTCCTCGCACGACGGCCCTTTTTTCGACAATTCCACAACTTGTCGTCACCATGCATCCGGCCGAGAATGCTTAAATGAATTTAGAGTCAAGCCTCGCCCTCTTCAGCTCGCTAGACGTCTTCATAAAGATAAGATGGGTTCATGCACGATCGAGGTGAAAGGGCGGGATGGGGGCAGCTAAGGAGCTTATTCGAGATTAATTTGTGGGTGTACCCAAAGTTGCCGCTGCGCGTGGGGGGAGCAAAAGCAAGCTTACAATCTATTTTATCCCCCGAGGACACTGCCATTGGTAAGGTAATTAATTAAAAACCATGCGCAACGAATCGCAGCACGGCAAAATCGGAACATTTCATCCCAGCATGCGTGTGTCACTTTTTGGTCTTTGGTCTGAAAGAGGAGCGGTAGGGCGGAAGGGCGGCAAGTAGAGACGAGGGGATCGACGAATAGGGCGCCTCAGAGGTCCCGAAGCGGCCACCTTCGGACGGATTGAAAACGCGACTGGAAACACTCGACCAGGAGCTGCAACGTCGCTGGCGGTGGCTTGCGGGGGCCGCTTGGCGCTTTCGGGGTGGGTGAAACGTCCTGATGTGACCTCCCCAGGTCGCTAAATATTCCTTACCACACAGTTCCAGCCACTGCAGAGCCTCCCACCTCCATCCTCCCCCAGACTCCAACAGCGACATCCCCTGTCCTGAAACTTCAGCCTCAGACTCTCGTTCGAGACGGGACGGGGACGATGTGGTAACGAAAAGGACTGGCGAGATGGGACGCCACCATGGCCACGGCCGACTGAACAAAAGCACCACAGAGCCAGGCGGTGTTTCCCCTTCGCCGTACCTTTCTCTCTCTTCGCCTCTTCCTTCTCTTTCTCTCCTTGGCGCTGGCGCATTTGCTCGTTGGTCCTCACTCATTGTTCGGTCAAGTCTGGCATCGTGACCCTCTTTTTTTTTAATAACATCATAAGTATCTACATTCATTTCTCCAAAGCGGTAGATCCGCCTTACCAAGCCCCAAGCAGCAGCAAAGATGGACATGTCAGAGGCAAAGTACGCCAACCTCCACCTCGAGGACGACGACCGCAGCAGCACCGAGGTCGAGGAGTCGCTCATCGGCGGCGGCGACGACAAGTACACCCGCGACTTCGCGAGGCCGCAGAAGAGGAGGAACCGCTGTCTCAGCATGCTCAACTCGTCGCGGTGGTTCGTCGACACGATACTGCTTCTCGTCATCCTCGGCCTGCTCGTCCGTGAGAGGATGGACAAGCCCCCCGTCAACCCCTGGGACTTTGGCGGCGACCTGACGGGCGTCAGCGGCCACTTTCCCCAGCAGATCAAGAAGTTCGAGATGGACTACGAGGGCAAGTACGCGCCCAACGACACGTCAAAGTTCTTTACCGACGAGGTGCTCAACAACTGGAACGAGCTTATGCCGAGTAAGTTGGAAACTTCCTCAAAAGGGGATGAGAGGAGAACACTAACAAAGGGAACAGTTGGCATGGGTTTCCAATGGGTCAACGACACGCACAAGTACCACGACCTGCCCACCCCCATCGTCTGGCCCGAGAAGACCGTCTTCACCACCTCCATTACCCACCAGCTTCACTGCCTGGTAAGATCTCACTCACCTGGACTCATGATTGCATCAAAGCCAGGCTAACAACCATCTAGTTCGCCGTCGTCCAGACCTACTCCGGTCTCAAGTCCGGCCACGAGATCCCCGACGACCACCACTGGCACATGATCCACTGCTTCTCGTACCTCAGAGAAACCATCATGTGCAGCGCCGACATGGCGCTGGAGGGTCTCGAGACCACCTTCCCCGACCACAACGGTGGCTCCGACGGTTGGGACTCGAAGCACGGTAAGTCTGCGTTACGCCATCGAGACCTTCCAATACTGACGATGCCCTCACAGTGTGCAAGGATTATAATGCGGTCAAGACTTACCTGGAGAGCGTCAGGGCGTACGACGATAGAGAAATCTTTTAAGCCAGCACTAGGCATTTTCATATCAAAAAAGAGACATATTGGGCCAATTATTTTCAACCTTTGAGGGCATATTCAAGCATCTAATTTCACAGACATACCATACAAATAAAACCTACCAGACTTACCTTTCAAGCATTCCAGTCTTCCGTTGCATACTTCTTGAGAAGCTCATCATACATCTCGGCAGGCTCACGCAGCTTTCTCTCAAACTCCAGCTCCGCCTCCATCTCTTCAGGCGTGAATAACTCCCACTCGAGCTGCAGATCCTTGGGCAACGGCAACGGCGTACACATCGCACATCCTTCCCCGACATGGCAGTAGCACTCGTTCGGATCAAGCCGACCGGGATGCAAATACCCCTCCCACCGCGGCCTATCCGCCTCCGGCCCCGTCCAGATCAGCCGCAGATACCGCCTCGGCGACCGCCACAAAACCGCCCAGCTCTCGCCTTTCGTGCGCAGGACCGGATTGATGTCGAAGAAATCGTACCGCAGCTCCTGCTCCCGGAACCGCTTCCACGCGAACGGCGTCAGCGCCCACTTGTCCCACTTCCAGCTGTTCTGGTTCTGCAGGTTTGTATCCTGCCAGAGCCGCCACCCGTGGTACCAGGGGTCGCAGGACATCTCGTACGTCTTGAACAAGCACGACAGCGTGACGCAGCGCACCGCCAGCTCGGGGAACAGCCGCGGCTCCCTCGTGTAGTCCCAGTGCCGCGCGTCCGATGCGTCCGCCGGCTTGCTCGACCACGCGCGCACCTCCCCCGAGAAGAATAGCGGCGTGTGCGACGCCTTCATCCGCGAGATGGCATGGTACATCGTCTTCAGAAACCGCCGCTTCTCCTCCCGGTCCATCTTTATAAACTGATCCAGAAACTTGAGCGGGAGGCTGCACAGCACATGAAAATACCGCGCCATCTCCTCATCCGGCGCCGCCTCCGGAAGAATAGGCTTGTCTTCATAACGCACGCCGTAGGGATACCACGCCCTCTGCACGACCGACGACCTGAAAATCGTGCACCCCATATCATCAAACTCGGCGTGCGACAACGGCAGCAGCATCCTCCTCTCATGGTCCTCCTGCATCAACCGCTCATCCCACAACCGCTGCCTCATCTCGTAAAACTCGTCGTCCACCTCCTCCCCAAACAGCACCTTCTCCCGCTCCTCGTCGTCCCAGAAGACATTGCGCTCATACTGCAACCCCACCGCCGCCGCGTCCTCCTCGATCCCCTTCTTCCACGCATTGTTCACCTTCGTCGTCCAGTACACGTCCGCACAGGGTATGTGCTCCCTCTCCAGCGCGTCCCCGAAGTCGCGCAGCATCGCGTCCACCTCGACGGCGTAGTGATTCAGCGTCGCCTTGAACGCGCAAATCACCTCGGCGAAGTCGCTCTTCGTCCACCCGCGGAACACCACCTCCGCCCGCGCCAGCCGCGTCGCGTACGTCTCGCCGGCGACTCCCGTCGGCGCGCCGTTCACAAACGTCGCC